GATACAAACTAGATAAGCCTTCGATCTCTACAGTGAATGAAAAGCAGCGGGTGATGTGCATTCCTTCAAGGAGTGCAAACACTTAAATACTTTATACTTATTTATTGTTGAGACAAAAGACTTCATGCAAACTCTTCCTTTCATCAACACAAACAAATCTGAAAGCTACAAAAAATAAAAAACACTGAGGAGGATTAGACCATTTTCCATTTACTGTTGTGTTTTTAATAAAGCAGACTGCACGATGTTACCACAGGCTGGAACAGATTGTCCCTCACGGCTGTAATTCAGAAACAGAAGTGGTTCTCGTAACTGTAATGAAACTGCAATGACTGCAGCGGAAATTCTCAAGAAAATAACAGAGAAAGCTCAACTTTAGAAATTTCTTTCATGTCTGGGAACATCTGGAACACTATGTTGCRTGTGGGAAAAGGCTGTTTGTTTACCGTAGTCTGGAACGGACAGAAAATAACTGCAGAGTCRCGTCATGTCCGACTGTTTAGAAATATTGTTTCTGTCTCTTCTGATGTATCGTAAAGGCTGACAGTAGGTCTGTGACTGAGTCATTTTGGACAGGTTTTTTCTTGCTGAGAGTTTATAGTTAGTAGAAGACATAAATTATCATAATTCCTCCCTCTGCCCTCCCACAGTACTCACAATGTAGTATATAAGTCAAGCAAAGCTAAGCATATTAACAACAGTGATATCAGGATAAACAGCTTTTTTTTTCACTCCAGGCCCATGTTTTTGTGTGATGAGTCGGAGGAGAAAAAATCCCTCTATTTTAGCTTATTAACCACAGAAATGAAAAGAAATGCTCCTTGAAGAAGTCCRTCTTTCTAATTTAACAACCGTCTTCTGGGAGCAGACCATATTCAGCAAAATGCCGAAACACGCCCTGCTCTGCGTAAACAAACACGCCCACAAAGTTCTGACCAAACAGACAACACAAACCGCATTGGTCTGCAAGACAGTGTCAGTGGTAGATAACAGACAAGTTATGCAATTTTTGTCACAGAAGACAATACGAGAGACGTAATGGAAGTAAAAATCAGCCTTTAGGCCCAATTTACATGACACAGATTTTGAGTCAAACTGTAGCTTGCTTACTGTGGTAAAGCCGTTCACGTACATAACACCATCACTTGTTTTCTCTGACATCAAAGCCTTTTGTATCCAGGTCTCAGAATGGAGGTTTTTGAAAAATCCCAGCAGTCGTGTGAAATTGCCTGTGCCCACTACGGATTTCAGTTTTTCTGTGCTCGCACAAGTAGAACGAGAACAGTAACTTGGGAGAACCGACACAAGGCTTTTTAAGAGTTACATCAAAATCAGTCCACTGATTCAGGAGCGACGTATATTGCTAAAGCAAGACACAGACAATCACCCTTTTGTCTATGGAAACAGGAGATAGAGCGATATGAAGCCAGGACCAATAAAACAAAAGTACTAGTTTGTTAAGAGTGTACTTCCTGTCAAAAACCCTCAATTAAACCTAAAACATGTGATTATGTGATCAAAAACAATAACTTAGTGACACACGTTTCAGTCACACGAACACAAACAAACCATAGACTGACTTCACTACTTTCATTAGCCTGCTAACAATAAGTCTGTAAAGAATACACAGCACTCAGGTCCATTTAAAAACTATGGCATCAAAATGTTTTTTAAAAAACAGAAGATATAACATGAGAACAGTTCACATGTTCAGCTGTGATTATCCTGAAGTTCCCAGTGAAGTCTGGATCACAAAATCCCAAACAGTATTTCATGAATCGTTGGGTGTATTTTTATGAAACTTTTAGAAAGCTATCACTGTACATTTACAGTACATCGTTGTGAAATTATGAAAAAAAAAAATGTAACCACTAAAATTTCAGTTAAACAATTGGTCGGAGCTTCTTTTCCAAAACCCTGAAGGAAGCTGTTCCAGGGAGACTGAGAAGTACCCATTGACATATGGAACACACTTCTGAGTCCCCATTTTTAAAAATGGGAACCCCCACCTTCCCCCAATCTACCACTTCACAGCTGTTACTCCAGTCCTCAATGAAACATTAAAGAGATATGTCAACCATGACAACTCCATAATGTCCAGAGCCTTCAGCATCCCAGGTCAAATCTTGTCCATCCCTGGTACCCTGCCACTGGGGAACTTTGTGATTTGGCAACATTTCCCATGAAGATAGACTCATTCTATCGTGGTGAAGGAAATGTTGAGGTAAAAGCAAAACTTTCTATTAACGGTTCATGTTCCAACACTTACCTATAGTCACCTATAGACTGAAAGAACAAGATCCCAGAGTCCAGAGATTGAAAAGAGCTTCCTTTGTCACGTGGTTGGGTTTAGCCCTAGAGCAGGGGTCTTCATGACCCACTAGGCCTGTCACGATAACAAATTTTACTGGACGATAAATTGTCTCAGAAATTATTGTGATAAATGAAAATATTGTGGAACAGATTTTAAACTAATATAATGATATAACCGCCCCTGATTACGGAAGTTTGTAATGAAATTTAAATAGTGTAAATAGAAAAAACAACTATTGGCAATGCCAAGGCGTTGCCAGCTGTATGAAGGCAGGGGTTGACATAACCATTGTTTAGGTTGTCCRAGACAACCTATTTTCATTTCGGACAACCAGATCCTGTCTCCTGGTTGTCTGGTGGACAACCAAGAAAAAAGACCTTGATTAACAAGTTGTTAAATTACATTTTTCTTGAGATTCCTTTGGATAACCAAAGTGTTTTGAGGACAACCAGGTTTTGTCAACAGGTTGTCCGCTGGACAACCTGAAAAATTTCTTAAAGTCTACCCCTGGAAGGTGTCAGAAAACTGAAGACGCTCCTATGGCTAAATGTCTGTTCACGGACTTCCATGCTAAAGAGGTTAGGGGACCATGCACCTAGGCCTG